AAATGTCACTTTTAGAAGCTTAATGTTCTGCATAGCTACAGGTTTGTTTTATTCATTGCACACTAAAACTTTATTTTAAAAAATTATTTTAGTGGAAAATTATTCTAAAATGGATTGCACCCTTCTTTTTAATTTAGTTTGTTAAACCTAATTTAACCTTTCTTAATGATTCAGACCTTCATGGTGTGTGTGTGGGTGTGTGTGTAAAGGATACAAAGTTCCACTGGCTTATAGTAGTGTAGTTCTAACGTTACTTTTCCCACAAACCCATTAGTACATATTTTTACAGAATATAAGGTTTTTCAGGAATGCATATTGTTATAAAAATACCTGTATTTAAGTCTGTGGATCACAATCGAAAAAGGTTTGAAAACCACTGCCCTAGGTAGCTCCTTTACACTAACAATTTTTTACATTTGCATAATAACTATTTGCCAAGCCTTATACATTTATATGGCCTATGATAACTAGGGGAGGGATTGACTGACTTCTTGTTTTTAAACTATAGTAGGAAAGCATAATGGAACCTAAAAGAGCATGGACTTTGAAATGAGAACATCTTTAATTTTAGCCTTTTCATTTAGTAGTCATGTGACTGTGGATACCTTAATCTTGTTTAATTTCAGAACATCAGCTTATTATTATTATTTTTAACCTAATTGGGAAATGGTAGGATTGTTGGGTGCTTTCAGTCAAGTAATAAAGATAAAAATGCTTAGTAGGCCCTGGCCAGTTTGGCTCAGCGGTTAGAACGTCGGCCTGCGGTCCAGAGAGACCCGGTTCGGTTCCCGCTAGGGCGCGTACCTCGGTTGCAATTTGTCCTCAGCCCTGGTTAGGTTGTGCGGGTGGCAGCCACTCGATGTGTACCTTTCACGTCAATGTTTCTCTCTCTCTCTCTCTCTCTCTTCCCCTTTCTCTCCCTCCCACTCTATCTGAACAAAAAATGGAAAAATGTCCTCAGGTGAGGATAAAAAAAAAAGTTGCTTAGTAGGAGCACCATGGATGAATCTTACAAACAAAATGTTGAGTGGAAGGAAGTGGACATAAAAGACAGTACATGTGATATAATTTTATTTATATAACTTTCAAAACATGCAAAACTAATCTATAATGATAGAAGTCAAGTCAGTGTTTACTCTTGGGTAGAGTAATGACTGGGAGAGGATGCAAAAGGAGTACTTCAGGTGCCACTAACAATCTCTTTCTTGGTTTGGAGACACATTGTAAAAATTCATTGAGCTCCATACTTATGATTTGTATACTTTTCATTATGTATATTATACTTTAACAAAAAAGTAATTTTGAAAATTTTTTTTCTTTATTGATTTTAGAGAGAAAGGAAGGGAGAGGAAGAGAGAGAGAGAGATGAAAGAGAACATTGATTGGCCTTTTGCCTGCCCCACACTGGAGATTTGGCCTACAACCTGGGCATGTGCCCTGACCAGGAATCGAACCAGCGACCTCTTGGTGCATGGGTTGACGCTTAACCACTGAGCCACACCGGCCAAGCCAAAATAGTCATTTTTAAAGTGTTTAGCACAGAACCTAGCACAAAGTTGGTTCCCTTCTTCTTTGGTGGTTCACTAAATTAACAATATGGAAATTTATTCAGAAAAGTAATCCTAGCCTCCTTTCCTTGTAACCTTTCAGTTTCTTTGGTCTGTTATGGTTCACTTGTCTCCTAATCCCACTTTTATACTTAGGCATGTTTATACTGATGGTTATCCTAACTGGTATAGTTGAAGGAATTTAGGTCAATCAGACAAGGTGAAATTGAATGTCTGACCCTTGTGATCTAGGAGTAAATAAGGAATATGAATTTTGATATGATGCTATTCTCTGATCATTAAGTGATTTGATGTTTTGCTTTTTAAGTGAAGATTTAAATGGATATTTTTCTGATTTGTATAATAAAATTTTCTCATATCAGATCAACTTCATTATTGAATGTTTTCATGATGGGATATTGGACTTATTTTTTTATTTGTGACACTTTTATTACAAGCCAATTATAGTGTAGCATAGTATAGTGAAATGGTAAAGTGAAATGGTAAACTGTCTAACCCATTTATACCTTATAGATTTAGCTTATGTTCTTATCACTGAAAGGGAACCATATTTTTTTAACCTTATTGGTTTTGTATTACAAGTACAAAAATAGAACTTGTATACTTGGGAATCTATGCAGGATCCTGTTGTAAAAAACTTAGAATTATCGAAAATTCAATTTTAAAATACTGAGTGTTATTTTTTCTGCTTGGTAATGGTTGGGATATAAAATAAGCCTATGACAGTCTCTGCCCTCAGGAAGGATGCAGTCCTGTAAGAAGAGGTCTGTGAGATAAGCAGAAAATGAATTTGTCTACATTTGCTTTTTATGTTTTAAGAGAAGGTTTCTGATAGAGGTACTGTACTAGCAAGTCCCTCTAAACCACAGGGAACTGTGATGATGATTGTATGGATGCCAATGGAGCCAAGATACAGAGGACTTGACTGACTTCTCAGTGACAAAAAATTAGGGAGGTGGGGAAATACACCCTATCTATCAGATATTTATATTAATTCATTAAAATAAATAATGGCATGTAACCTCACAGACCATTTGAAGTAGACACTATTATTTCTACTTTAAAGATACATAAATTGAGGCCCAGAGACATTTAGTAATTTGTCCAAGTTTACTTAGCTAGTGACAGAGTTAATATTCAAATCCAAAACCTATCTGTACCACTTGCTATATATAGATAGCAACATCCAAAGAAAGGATGTATTTATCAAAAGATAGTCAGCTTGGAAACATACTAACCGGGAGGTCATAAAGAAAATTGATATCAGGTTACATCTAGGATTACCCAGGAAAGGGAATACTATAACTCCAGAACTTAATTTCTTAAAAGTCCCTGTGACACTTTTTATATTCCTGTTATGAGTTGGTTGCATAAGACTCAAACCTTGATGCAGATTTACCTGTTGCCTGTTTTGGTGTGTGTGTGTGTGTATGTGTGTGTAATAAAATATACTTACCATAAAATTTACCATTTTAATTCATTAAGTACATTTCAGTGTTATGTAGCATTCACCACTATCCATCTTTGGAACTTTTTCATCATCCCAAACAGAAACTTTGAACCCATTAAATCGTAACTCTCCATTACCCAACCTTCCCAACTCCTGGTAACCTCCGAGAATTTGCCTGTTCTAGTTACCCAGATGTAGGTGGAATTATACAAAATTTGCCCCTTTGATTTTTGGCTTATTTAGCTTAGCATAATGTTTTAAAGATTCATCAATATTGTAACAAGTATCAGAATTTTATTCTTTTTTATGGTTGAATAATATTCTGTTGTATGTATATATCACATTTGTTTAGCCATTTGTTTATTGATGGATACTTGGATCGTTTCTTCCCTTTGGCTATTGTGAATAATGCTGCTAGGAACATTAGTGTACAAATATTTGTTTCAGTTCTTGCTTTCAATTATTTTGGGTTTATAACTGGTAGTGAAGTTGCTAGATCATTTGGTAAGTCTGTGTTTAACTTTCTGAGATTTTCCACAGAGGCTGCACCATTTTTTATTTCCATTAGCAGTTCACAAGGGTTCTAATTTCTCCATATCCTCACTAATACTATTGTTTTTGTTTGTTTGATTTCATAATAGCCATCTTAAGAGATGTTAGTGAAGTGGTATCTCATTGTGATTTTGAAGCGCATTTCCCTAATAATTAATGGTGTTGAGTATCTTTTTGTGTGCTATTAGCCATCTGTATAGATAAATGGAGAAATGTCTTTTCATGTCCCTTGCCCATTTTTTAATGGGGTTGTTTGAGGATTTTTTTGTTGTTGTTGAATTATAGGAGTTCTTTATATATTCTAGATATTAATCCTTATCAGATATATGATCTGCCATTATTTTCTCCCATTCTGTAAGTTGTCTTTTCACTCTCATGATAGTGTCCTTTGAAGCACAATATTTTCTTTTAATGAAATTCAACGTATTTGAGGGTTGTTTTTTTTTTGGTCTGTGCTTTAGATGTCATATCCAAAAATCATTGCCAAATTCAGTATCATGAAGATTTCCCCTTATGTTTTCTCCTGAGAGTTTTATAATTTTAGCTCTAATGTTTAGGTCTTTAATGCATCTTGAGTTAATTTTTGTATTCGGTGTGAGGTGAACATTCTACTTCATTTTTTCGCATGTGGGTCTCAGATTTCCCAGCATCATTTGTTGAAATGAATATCTTTTCCCCATGAATGGTCTTGGCACCTTTGTAGAAAATCATTTGACTATACATATTAGGGTTTATTTCTGGGTTCTCTATTCTATTCCATTTGTCTACATGTCTGTCCTATCCCCATACTACACTGTTTTGATTACTGTAGCTTTGTATTAAGTTTTGAAATCAGGAATTGTGAGTCTTCCAAATTTGTTCTTCGTTTTCCAAAGTGTTTAAGCTATTTGGGGTCCTTTGAAATTCCATGTGAATTTTAGGATGGCTTTTTATATTTCTACAAAAAACATCATTGGGATTTTGATAGGGATTGCATTGAGTTTGTAGATCACTTTGGATATTATTGTCATCTTAACTATATTAGTCTTCCAGTTTATGAACACAGGTGTGTTTCCATTTATTTGTTTTCTTTAATTTTTTTCCAGCAGTGTTTTGTGGTTTTCAGTGTACAATATTTTAGTTCACGTGGCTCTTATAGTTCTCACAATAAATTAATAAATGAACATTCTATTTTACCCATTATTGTTTAGTGACCTATAGATCTGTCAAAAGTCTTTTCTGTTTATAACATAGGATTCTGAATCTACCAAGCTGAGGGAAAGATTCTAGAAACTGGAAACCTAACCAAGTTGCTGCCCTTGGGAAAGAAACCCTGTCTGGGTGTCCAGGCTACTGGTTTCCTCTGATTAAAAACCGAATTTCACTGTATGTCTTTTTTTATCTACAGTAGGTTGTTCACATTTCTAATTTTTTCTATCTTTTGCTTCTAGATTTCTCCATCTTATTAAAGAGAAACGATTTTCTATTTGGTATAGCTTGATGGTACCATGCAAAAATCAGATCCTCGGAAAGGTCAGAACCTATATTTATATGTAAGAGAAATAGAGAATTACCCTCTAGGCTGTGTATGAATGTGTCACAAAAAGCAACTAGAATGAATAAAAGAATCTCACCCTTTCTTGCCAACTTATCCTGCAATTTTAACAAGTCCTACACATCATTCACACAGTTCTTTGTAGTTTGCAAATTATTCTTCACGTAATTATCTTATAAGGGCTTTATAGTAATTGTATGAAGTGGGTACTATTGCTATTCCTGTTTATGTAAACTGAGGGGTTATGAGACGTATTTGAAATCTTGTTACTATGATCGGCAAGATTTAGCCCTAGATCTTTTGCCTCTAGATCTTACCCTTCTCACTACATCATAAGTTAATAATCATTATCATAATTTAGTAAACAATGTAGATATGGAAGCTGTATGAACATTGGAAATAATGTATGTAAAAGTCTGTGAAAAGAAGTTAAAACTCCTTTATAGATGTAAAATACCATTAACAAATCAACAGATCTTGATATTAAATGTCTAACATAATCTTTTGGATGACACCAAATGCTTCAATATGTAATATGCCATTGTCTTAGTATGGCAAATGAGGCTCTTCACAAGTTGCTGCCTACCTACTTTTCTATTCTCATCTCACTCGTGTCATTTGTCTCTAGCTTATCCTATCCCTTTACATCTATAATAAACTGCTGGCTGTTGTCCAAACACACTGTGCATTTTTAGGAAGTATGATGTGGCACCATTGGTACCAATAATCTTCCCTGTTCAGAAAGCATAAACCAGAAACATTCTAAAAAGCCTTAGATTCTCCTGTGCTCTGGATCACACGTCTGTAAGTCTCTGGAAAGGGTAAACATTATACATAGTTGAAGTCTACTAGGAAGGCCTATAAGACAAAGGGAGTGATGGTTACTCTGCATTTTCATTAGCCACTCATTGTTAGCAGCTTTGCTTATTAAAGGAAATAGTGATGTTCTCTGGGAGTTCTTCTCTCTGTGTACGTGCAGAGATGCATAATTGCTACAGAGAGTGGGGGGAGGGACAATCACCAAGGAGAGATCTCCATCTGCTGCATGCACAAAACAGAATTTATTGCTCTCTTTGAGAAAGTGATTGCCTAGCTTGCCTATCCCGTGCCCCTCTTCTGGCGGATCATGCCAGAGGAATATTACCATCTCATCACACTCATCTCTGAATGGAGCACAGGAAATGGAGAGTTGGAGGCAGAGGATCAGTTGAGAGGCACTAGGAATAGTTGCTAATAAGAGAGTGACTGATCAGTGGCACATCCCAAACCAGTCCCCTTTTCGTTTCCTGCTTCCCCTGTAGCTTGCCGTCCATGACCACAGTGGGACAGTTGTTCTGCTCTCAGCATTTCAATTTTATTTCTGTGCATATCGGCATAGGATTATGGTTTATTAAAACTACAACTGTTATCTAACACTGAAAGAGTTCTGTCTTGTCGTAATGGGTTTCAGAAGTATATTCGTTGCTGCTTTTTTCTACTTTTCAGTTTTCATTTCTGAGGGAAACATTATTCCTTCCCTGTTTTCTTCCTCCCTTCCTTCCTCACCTTCTCTCATGTAAACCTGCATTACTTCTTTTGTATTTTCCAAGTTCTATGAATATTTAAAACACAGTACCTATGGACATCCCCTGTTTAACCTAATTTTACCTCATTAAATCCCCGACTATGTCTAATCTTATTCAGTGTCCAGATCAAGCTTCAGTTTTTACTGTAGTAAAATGAGTAGAATATCCACATTCACACCTGGTTGTAGTTCTTCTCAAGCTGGGCTGTTTTGTGTTAGAAGCATTTGTAAAGTTTCCTTTTCATTTGTTTATTTGTTTTGAGGAGAGAGGCAGTGCTGTTAAGAGCATAGTTTATGTTCAAATCCTGCCTTTTATTCTGACTGTGACCTTTCAAAAAGTTAATCAACCTCCCTGGTATCATTTCCTTGTTTGTAAAAAGGGGTAATGATAACATACAAAGTGGTATCAAACTGGGGAAGATGGTGTTATTGAAATACTTAGCACCATATCTGGCCCATAGTAAACTCTTAAAAAATAAGACCTGTACAATGCTAATAATAATAATTATTGCTATCTTAATATATAAGTGATAATTTACAACTGTAATTTTTTAATACTGTGTCACAATATATGAAGAATTTTTTTCTACTTTTTCTGGCTTCAAAGTATGACCTAATGTGATTGTTTTGTCACATTTTGAAAGGATACTTCCTTTCAAAGCCTTGTAGATTTTTCTGTTACATATTATCTTTCTCTCAAGGGTTTTCAGTAATATTAGAATCTTTATGTTCTCTAGATCTGCACTGTTCAATACAGTAGCCACTGGTCACATGTCTATTTAAATTTAATAAAAATTAAATACAATTAAAAACGCAGCTCTTCAGTAACACTAGCTACATTCAAGTGCTGAATAACCACATGTAGCTAGTGGCTACTCATTAGACAATGCAATTATAGAACATTTCCATTATCACTGAAAGTTCTATTGGACAGCACTGCTTTAGATGTTACTTGTCTATGTTCTTGTACTCTTTTCTCAGAAATCAAAGAGGGTATATTTTCTAGGGTGTTCCAGAGACTACTGACTTACTGTTTCAGGGCTCTGGACATTGAAGGATTCAACTCTACTTACTGCAGCCCCTTAGTGTCATTACTGTGTTTTGAAATAAATACAGGCACTTTCACTTCCCCAAGAGGATCACATTACCATAAGTTTAAAGGTCCCAGTCAACAGTAAGAGGAAATCAAAGGGAAAGGAAGCAAAGTACAAGTAATTGTAGCAGATATTCCTAAAGTAGTTACTTAAATTGTATTAGAATCCTTAGGGGCTAACTAGTAACAGGAGGTTCTAAAGTCCTTTTTGTGAATACACTGTATTATTCACAGTCTGAGTTTTCTCTCTGAGAAAGGTGGTAAATAGCAGGTTTTTTCTTAATAATTTATATTATCTGGCCCTGGCCAGTTTGGCTCAGCAGTTAGAGTGTCGGTCCACAGACCAGGGAGTCCTGGGTTCAGTTTCCGCTGAGGGCACATACCTCGGTTGCAGTTTGTCCCTGGCCCCGGTTGGGGTGGTGTGGGTGGCAACCAGTTGATGTGTCTCTCTCACATCAATGTTTCTCTCTCTGTCTCTGTCTTCCCCAGTCTCTCCCTCCCACTTTATCTGAAGATAAATGCAAAAATGTCCTTGGGTGAGGATTGAAATAATAATAATAAAAATTTCTATTACCTGTATTATGCACTGTTAAAGTCATTTTTTCATTTGTTCTTCACAACAACCTAGCGAAGCCAATAGCATTAGGATTACTGTTTCTATTTTACTGATTAAAAAACTGAGGTTCAACCCTGGCTGTTTTGGCTCAGCAGTTAGAGCGTCGGCCTGTGGACCAGAGAGTCCTGGGTTCGGTTCCCACTAAGGTCACGTACCTCGGTTGCAGTTTGTCCTCGACCTCGGGGCCGTGTGGGTGGCAACCAGTTGATGTGTCTCTCTCACATCAATGCTTCTTTCTCTCTCTTCCTCCCTCTATCTGAAGATAAATGCAAAAATGTCCTCAGGTGAGAATTAAAAAAAAAAAAAAAGGTAAAAAACTGAGGTTCCGTGCAATTACGTTACTTGCCTAGAGAGTTTAAGGAAAAATAGAGTTGAGATTCAAAACAGGATAAAATTTTAACTTTCAGTTCAATATTTTGTTTTGTTTTGTTTTTATTTTGTAAAAGAAAGAGTGAAGGTTCTTTTTTTTTTTTTTTTTTTTTTTTTAGAGAAAGAGAGTGTAATGTTGATGTAAGAAAGATACATTTTTAGCTGCCTCCTGCATGCTCCCCACTGGGGATCGAGCCAGCAACCTGGGCATATTTTCTGACTGGGAATCGAACCGGGACCTCTCAGTCCATGGGACAATGCTCAAGCCACTGAACCACACCGGCCAGGCAAGAGTGAGGTTCTTTAGGGCAACATGGAAACCGACAACTATTGCATGAAGTACTGTCAGAGAATCACTAAAGCTTCATTTGTCCCATGACCATGTGCATTAGTCAGGGAGAGCTGCCATAACAAAATACCACAAGCTGGATGGCTGAAACAACAGACATTTATTTTCTCGCAGTTCCTAAGTCTGGAAGTTCAGGATCAAGGTGTTAGCAGGGCTGGTTTCTGGGGAGGCATCTCTCCTTGACTTATAGACAGGTGTCTTCACCTGGCTGTTTTCTCTGTATGTGTTTGGGAAGGAAGGGAGAGAGGGAAAAAGAGAGAGATCTCTGATGTCTCTTTCTCTAAGGACACCAGTCCTGTCAAGTTAGAGCCCCACCACTATTACCTCATTTAACTTTAGTTATTTCCTTAAAAGTCCTATCTCCAAATACAGTCACATTGGAGATTAGAACTTTAACATATGAATTATTTTTTAATTCCTCACCGGAGGATAATTTTCTATTTGTCATTAGATAGAGTGGGAAGGAGGGAAAGAGAGACAGACAGAGAGAAATATCGATGTGATAGAGCCACATCGACCAGTTGCCTCCTGCACCAGGGCTGGGGACGAACCGCAACTGAGGTACGTGCCCTTGACTGGAATCAAACCCGCGACTCATTGGTTCGTGGCCCAACACTCCAACCGCTGAGCCAAACTGGCCAGGGTTTAACATATGAATTTTGTGGGAACACAGATCAATTCATAACACCATGTTAATGGTGTTTTAAAATCTTTTGATTTTTCTGGCTTAATCTGATTAATTGGAAACTATATATTCAACATTTGCATAAGACCAAATGTAGCAAATATCTATATTCTTTACCTCTGTGGCTATTGAGGCTTAGTTAAATTAAACCTGTGGTACTTGCTGATAAGATACTGTCTAACCCTGAGATAGGCTAATAAGCAAAAAAGAAAGATGTATCTAACTGTCCTACTTTTCTTATAATGTAGCCTAATTTGTTAATAGCTAAATGTCTCAGTACTTTACAAGGTAATAAATGTCCCCCTTCCTTCCCACTCCCACTTTACAGATGGAGAAATTAACATGCAGAGAAACTGACTTGTCAGAGGTCAGAGCAAGGTATTGGTGGATCCAGGGATAAGTCCCAAACTTCTTAACAACTTGACCAGTGTTTAGTTCATTGACTATGCAGCCTAGTGGTAAGTATCTTTTTACCTTCCTGTCCTGGAGGTAAGAGGGAGTAAGAGCCTTAGCAAGGACTGAACTTAAAGAATTTCTCATAACTAATTAGATCATTCATTATCCTTTTCTGTTAGCCATGTTGTCATTTTTGTCATTAGCATAAATTTTCCAGGTCATGAAAGGAAGTTGGATGGTTTGCTTTTTAAATACTTAAAAATATTTCTATAATGGTTCAACTATACTAGAGATTATTATTAAGAAAGGAAAAAAAGAAAAACCTATTTTATGAATTTGTTCTCTGTGTTAGACACCATACTATACCCTTTGAATTATGTTATCTTACTTAAACATCCTTAAAACTTATAGCAATTTCTGGAAGGTATACATTCTTACCATTTTTCTAGTACTATTTTTTTTTTTTTTTTTGCACAGATAGAGTGGGAGGGAGAGAAAGGAAGAGAGAGAGAGGGAAACATCGATGTGAAAGGGACACATCGAGTGGCTGCCACCCGCACGACCAACCAGGGCCGGGGACAAACTGCAACCGAGGTACATGCCCTTAGTGGGAACCGAACCCGGGTCTCTCCGGACCGCAGGCGGATGCTCTAACCGCTGAGCCAAACCGGCCAGGGCTATAGTACTATTTTTAATAGTATTCATTTAATTAAATAGGAAAATTGGAATTTAAATTCCAGTAGAATTTGAGGTTTGTGAAAACTTAGAACCTTATCAGAAGTCTTTAAATCTAAAATCTCTTTATGTTTAAGCATAGTTTCTGAGGTAGGATGATTCGTCTTGTCCAATATTAAGTCAGGATTGCTCTTCCACTTGACAGTAAAATCATATTTTCTCTAAAGCCTTTTCTTCTGCCTCTATGTCTGAAATAATTAAGGTTCTTTTAATTACTAGGGAGATTGAACAACCAAAGCCATATGAAAAGCAAGGGTGTAGATCGGCCTTCAGAACCAAGGTCTCATAGGCCATAAGTACATTCTCTCCTTCATCTCTCACCTCTGCTTGTCTGCCCATTGACTTCTTGCTTATTGTAGATCTGCATTCTCCATTATGGTAAACAAAATAGCCACTAACTACTTTTAATTCTCTTATCAACCCCCCCTTCTGCTTCAGCCACACTGAACTTTAGTTGTCCAACAAGGCATTGTCCATTATGTATTTTTCTCCCTTTTACAGATTGAAGACCAAGTGCCTTGTTAATACATATCTATATCTAAGTATCGATCTCTATGTCAAAATTGTTTTGATGAAAGCATGCATTTAAATAGTGACTTCTTAATATGTATAATTCTCTCTCATTGTGTAACTATTTCTGAGTTTGGTAAAAAATCAAACTTTTTTTTTTCTTTTTGAATGCCTGCTGTGTGCCAAGCCTCAGCAATACTGACTGGCTTAGTAATATTTAGTCTGATACTTTGTGACAGGCATAAAAATATGAGGTAGAGATGGTACTGTACTCTGCTTGGGGAATGTTACCAGAAAACTATTGAAAATTAACAGTTATCCTTGACCTTGATGAATAAATAGGAATCTCTCAAATAGAGAAAGAGGGAAAAGTCCAGAGATATGAAACAGTATAACAATTTTGTTATGTTTGGATAGAATTTAGGGCTTGATCTTTGAAGACTTTTAATGAGGTAGTGACACATTTTATCTTGTCCATATTTTTATTTATTTATTTATTTATTTATTTATTTATTTAATCCTCACCCGAGGACATTTTTTCAGATAGAGTGGGAGGGAGAGAGAGAAACATTAACGTGAAAAGGACACATTGAGTGGCTGTCACCCGCATGACCCAACCAGAGCTGGGGACAAACTGCAGCCGAAGTACATGCCCTTAGTGGGAAGCAAACCTGGGTCTCTCTGAACCCCAGGCCAACACTCTAACCGCTGAACCAAACCGGCCAGGGCATCTTGTCCAAATTTTTAAAAATTAATACTAAAGTATGGATTGGAAAGGAGTGAGATCGGACAGGAATTAAGTAACTGTTTTCATTGGTCAAGTTGAGAGATAATGAGATCTTAAACTCAGATTAGGAACAGAGGAGATGGAAGAGAGGAAGGAGATGGCCATTTTAGAGGTAGAACTGATACAATTTGATAACCTAGTCGATTTTTGGAAGGCCAGGGACAGCAGACACTTCAAGAGGATTTCAGGTTTCTGAATTATTACTGTTAACTTGGATAAAGATGACCAGAGAAGAAATATCCTGCCTGGGGAAAAGGAAGAAAACAAAATTTGGTTGATTGGTTGGTTCTTCAGATATTTTTATTTTTGATGAAAGTATTACAGATGGCTGAAACTAGTTTTTAAAATATAGTAGCTACGGACTTCCGGTCAAGATGGCGGCGTAGGGAAACGCAGTATCACGTTCTCCCACAACCACATCCAAGTTACAACAAAACTACAGAACAACCATCATCCAAAACCGCCTGAAATCAAGCTGAATGGAAGTCCTACAACTACGGAATTAAAAAAAAAAAAGCAGCTACATCCAGACCGGTAGGAGGGGCGGCGGCGCGAGGGGTGGCGGCAGCGGCGCAGCGCGGCGGCGCGACGGGCTGGTCCCACACCCAAGTGTGGCGGATAAAAATCAGGAGGCTCCCGCGGCTGGGAAGGTCCTTTCTGAGGACTGAGGGGTCCCCGTCCCACACCAGGTGCCCCGCTCAGGGTTCCAGTGCCAGGAAGAGAAGTCCCCATAACTTCTGGCTGGAAAAACCAGCAGAAACTGAGGCTCAGGGAAGCTGACCTGGCTGGAGCCACAGGCAGCTCCCTAAAGGGCCCGCGCACGGACTGGTCGGACTCTCTCCCTCTAAGCTCGGAGGGGAGGCAGCTCGAGGGGCGCCAGAGACATACAGGGAAGAACTGAGCTGTTTGGCACTGGAGCGAGGGCTGGAGAGGGGGCTTTCTCTGGGACAAACGTGCTGTAAGAGGCCTTTGTTCCTTTGGTGAGCCCTTCCCTGGGGCGGCAGACAGTCGCCATATCTGGGACTCCAGCAACCTGGCTCACACTGGTAGCCCCGCCCTACTGACTCCCTGAGGCCCCGCCCTGCCCCGCCCCACACAACTTTCAAGCCCACCCAAGCTGTTGCTACTTGCTTAACCATAGGATTGGCCTGTCTTGGATCCTGCTTCAGGTTTTTCCTAAATTCTTTCAAATGAGCAGCATCGGGTCTCAGCGAGCCCCATACCTCTCATTAAGTAATACACAGAAACAAACACAGGGAGGCAGCCAAAATGAGGATACAAAGAAACAGGTCCCAAATGAAAGAACAGAACAAAACCCCAAGAAAAGAACTAAGCGAAATGGAGATAAGCAACCTAACAGATGCTGAGTTCAAAATACTGCTTATAAGGATGCTTAATGAACTCAGTGAGGGCCTCAAGAGCATAAAAAAGTACCAGTCAGAAATGATCGCTGCACAGTTAGAAACGAAGGAGGCTTTAACTGAAATAAAGAATAATTTACATAGCTTCAATAATAGAGTACGTAAATCCAAGGAGCAAACCATCGATTTGGAATATAAGGAAGCAAAAAACGCCCAACCAGAACAGCAAAAAGAAAAAAGAATCCAAAAAAATGAGGATAGTGTAAGGAGCCTCTGGGACAACTTCAAGCGCGCCAACATTCGCATCTTGGGGGTGCCGGAAGGAGAAGAGAGGGAACAAGAAATCGAAAACCTGTTTGAAACAATAATGGCAGAAAACTTTCCTAACTTGGTGAAGGAAACAGACATACAAGTCCAGGAAGCACAGAGAGTCCCAAACAAGATGAACCCCAAGAGGCCCACACCAAGACACATCATCATCAAAATGCAAAAGGTTCAAGACAAAGAGAGAATCCTAAAAGCAGCAAGAGAAAGGCAGCTAGTTACCTACAAGGGAGTTCCCATTAGGCTGTCAGCTGATTTCTCAAAAGAAACTTTGCAGGCCAGAAGGGAGTGGCAAGAAATATTCAGAGTGATGAAAACCAAGAACCTACATCCAAAATTACTCTATCCTGCAAAGCTGTCATGTAGAATCGATGGACATATAAAAACTTTCCCAGACAAGAAAAAGTTAAAGGAGTTCATCACTACCAAACCGTTATTATATGAAATGATGAAGGGTCTTTTTAAAGAAAAAGATAAAATGTATGAACAAACAAAATGGCAATGAATACATATCTATCAACAATGGAATCTACAAACAAAATGAACAGGAAGAATAGGAACATTCTCATAGATACAGAGAACATTTTGTTGGTTGCCAGTTGGGAAAGGGGTTGGGGGAATGGATGAAAAAGGTGAAGGGATTAAGAAGCACAAATTCATTGCTAGACTGACAAACCTCAAAGGGAAAGGGGTTGGGGGGGGGGTGGGAAGAAATAAATCAAAGAACTTATATGCATAACCAATGGACACGGACAATAGTTTGGGAAAAGGTGGGAGGGGGGCGGGAGTGGGGAGGAGGGGGTCAATGGGGGGAAAATGTGGAACATCTGTAATACATTTTACATCCAACAATAAAGATGTGGAAAAAATAAAATAAAATAAAATATAGTAGCTACATATCATAATATACTCTGAAACATGGCCATTATTCTTAGAATGCTTTGAAAAATTATGTGACTAGCTCCTTTTCTTAATATGTGGAATTCTATCAGATGCTGTCTTCTGTTCATTTAGGAATTGATACAGGGACAGTTATCTAATCCACTAAGTAATTTATGGTGATACTTTTAAAGTAAGCATTTTGTATGGTAGTGATTTTCTTTCCTTTTTTTCTTTGTGTGCTGCTTCCAAGTTCCACAACTTTCCAAGTTGTGCCAGGAGTTTCAGATATTTCTTCTCAGAAGTTCTTTTTTCATTGCCTTAAATTGAACCTTATTTGATGCCTTTCTACCCAGTTAAATATGTTACTCATTTTGCTTCACCATTGAGTCTGGCTTTCATTTTTTTTTCTTTGCTAGGATATTTTTTTCTAAATTGTATTAGTTGCTTTTAAATATTGTTTTATTAATGATCTTGCAACCTGGTTTATTTTTATCTAGGCTTCTTGAATCAATTTTGCATATACTGGTAGCTCATCTTTACTTAAGTGATATAGTACTGAAAACTTATATATATATATGCACTATATATTATAAAAATAATTGTGAAAATCTTTAAATATAAATTCAGTTATTATACCTTAATACTTTTGTCTGTCGGTAATTTTTAAGCCTGATCAAACTTTGTAATCTTTAATAATTATTTAGAGGAGAACAAACATGGCAGGTTACTAGAAAGACAAGGGACCTCAAACCAGGAGAGAAGGCACACAGTTGGAGTGGGAAACTGACCAGTTTGATGGAATGTGGTGGAAAAGGGAAAAGTCATAATAGATAAGATCAGAGGAGTGGCAGGAGCCAGATCCTGCATAGCTTTGTAAAGTACCCTTAACTCAGTGGGAAGCTATTGGAGGTCCTCAAGCAAGTAAGTGACATTATCTGTTTTATGTTTTAAAATGCTCACCTTGACCCATAATGTGGAGAATACTTTGGAGTAGGCCAAGAGTAAAAAAAGGAAAACAAGGTAGCAGGCTATTGTAATGTTCCAGGTAAGAGGTAATGGTGACTCGAACTACAGTGTGAATGGTGATATTAAGAGCAGTGGATTGGTTTGGGATAAGAGCCAACAGGATTTACTGATGGATTGGATGTGACTGTAAAGGAAATAGAGACATCAAGGATAATATCAAGGGTATTTGGCTTAAGCAACTAAGTGATGGAGATGCTATTTACTGGTTTGGGGAAGACAAAAAGATGAACAGGTTGACAAGACATGGCATTTCATTTTAGCCAGACTGTTTCAAACTGTTCAGTCTGAAATATCTGATTGATAATCACGTAGAGATGGTCTGTAGACAATCATATACGTAAGTGTGGAATTCCAAGAAGAGGTCAGTGCTGGAAATAATGAATTTGAGAGCTATCTCAATGGGGTGGTGAGCAGAAAAACCCTGTTTGAATGAGGCGATAATGTAAGGAAGTAAGAAGGCAGTGACTATAGATAACTCTTAAAATAAGTTTGCCTATGAAGGAAAGCAGAGAAATTGAAGGATATAGCAGGAGGGATATATGTGGGAGTAAGAGGTGGTGTTTGTTGGGGTTTTGATAGATGATGGAATAGTAAGAATGCTGATGTGAATGATCTATTAGAAGGGGAATACTTGCAAATTCCTTAAGAGGATGAGAGGAAATGGGATATGGAGCCAAAATGGAGGGTTGGCTTTTGATAAAAACAAGGACACTTTATCCAAAGCAACAGAGCAGTCAGAAAGAATGACCAATGAGTAGCTTCATTCATTCACCAAATGTTAACTGAGAACCTACTACTATACTGTGTAATGGGTATATACCATTATACACGATGTGTACCTTTCTGAAATGAGTGGCATGTAGAAGGTTCCTATCTCTTATTTCTGTTTTCTCAATGAATTCTGAATTAATGTTCTCCCCTAAGAGTAAAGGTGAGGGAGGGAATAGTTAGAGTGTGAGAGTAAAAAGCATATGAATTTGTTTTTTTGGAAGGTAGGAAAGCAAACTTAGTAGGAAAATGTGGTGTGATTTCTAGATAGTGGTAAGTAGCATTTCAGAGTAATGGTCATAAGTTTAAAGTAAGACCAGTAAATTTGAGTTTGTTTTTCTTCAGCACTTGTGAATTGTTGAGGTAGGCATGGTATAGGTGACCTAAACCAGAGTTAGGATTGAGGCTTGGAGGGAGTCGAGAGTGTTTGCCAGGAAGTAATTTTTTTTTTTAATCCTCACCCGAGGACATTTTTGCATTTATCTTCAGATAGAGTGGGAAGGAGAGAGGGAGGAAAAGAGAGAGAGAAACATCGATGTGAGAGAGAGACACATTGAGTGGTTGCCACTAACACGAACCCAACAGGGTCAGGGACAAACTGCAACCGAGGTACTTACCCTTAGTGGAAACCGAACCCGGACTTTCTGGTCCGCGGGCCGATGCTCTAACTGCTGAGCCAAACTGGCCAGGGCCAGGAAGTAATTTTAATGAGGGACCATGAATCTGAGCTGGATAGGAAAAGAAGTGAAAACAGGATGGGTGATTGATGGTGAGAAAGTGGTAGACAGTAGATGAACCTAATTTTTAAACAAGTTATGTATCCTCTTTTAGAAAATTTTGAAATATATGAGATGAGAAAATAGAAAGGGGGAAAAACAGTGCCACTAACCAAAGATAACCAGTTGTTTATATTTACTATTTACTTCTATCTTTTTTCTAATGATACTTTTTTAGGTTTGTATTAGTTTGCCAGGCCCCCATAACAAAGACTACACACTAAGTGATTTAAACAACACAAATTTCTTTCTCACAGTTCTGGAAGCTAGAAGTCCAAAATCAAGGCGTCAGATGTGTTTTTTTTCTGAATCATCTCTCCTTGGCTTATAGATGTCTGTCTTCTCCCCGTGTCTTCATATCATCTTTTCTCTGTACCTGTTTGTGTCTGACTTTTCTCTTCTTATGTGGCTACCCATCATATTGGATTAGGGCCCACCTCAGTGACCTCATTTTAAGTTAATTACCTGCTTAAAGAACCCTCTTTCCAAATTTTCACATTCTGAGATACTAGGGAATGAGGATTTCAACATACATTTGGGGTGGAGGGTGGGAATTTAGCTCATAATAGGGGTGGTCTTTGTTTTTCTTCTTTTTTGGGGGGGTGTCCTTTACTGGCAATCGAACCAAGACTCTTTGATCTGCAGGCCAATGCTCTGTTTTTCATTTTTTACATAATTGTTATTATTTCATCAATATAAGTTGTATCCCATATTTTACCAGATAACATTTTAACTTAAACATTTTCCTGTTTTGTTGTTTAGCCTTTGTAAAAGTTTAACAGCTGCAAAGTACTTTGTTAAGTGAATGTATTACAGTAACTTAATTAATCTTCTCATCTGAATATTTAGGTACTCTTCCCCTTTTTTGGTTATTTATAAACACTACTGAAGCTTTTAAAATAAAACCTTTCTTTCTGTATTTTGGATTATTTTCTTAGAGTAGAGTCTCAGAAGTACTTTATCAGAAACTATTAATACATACTGCTAAATTGGAGAACTATTGAATCTTGTATTTTCTTTACATATGACTTTTTTTTTATTCACAGAAATAGACTGGAATGATGTCAGAAAACACAAATATGGTCAGCTATTGGAGTCTGCATCCCAACATCAAGGTAAAAAAAACTATTTAGCATGGAAGACTTTATTTGACATCTCTTACCATATAACCTTTGAGTATACAAAGAACTCACTGGTTAAAACAAAAGCAAATATTGTCATTTATAGAGGTATCTGTCAAAAGCAATATGTTTTGTTTTGAATTGAAAATCAGGAAATTTAGATTCTAAGTACAGATAATCCCCAATTAGCTTCACAGTTTCAGGCATAGTTGCTTAGTTTGTCTACACTTCTATAGTTTTTAAGAGTTTACACTTGGGAGTAAGGCAGAATTGGGTGGTGTACTTTCATAACTAATACTACTAAACTCGTCTTTTAAAATGGGAGAATTGGACTTGACAAACTCTCAAGCCCTCATTTTACTCCAGATAGTCGCCTTTCTGTCATTTTAGTATGTTGGTCATGATGACTTACGCTGTAACATTTTTTTTCTTTAATAGAAGCTACTGATATTCTGGAGTTAGGTAAGATATTTTTCTTGTGTTTCTGTTAAATAAAGGAAAATACTAAACCAGGGATTAGATGATTATAACTAGGAAAAGAATTCCATGTGTCTCTGTCCCAAACTAGTGAATCCTGGGCTCTCGTCTACGTAATGAGCCCATGTTACTAGTCTCTGCTCTGTCAACTCCTCCTTTTCAGGAGGCCACAGACCAAGCTAACAAAAAGGGAGAGGGTAGGATTCAATTGCATAGAGTACAAGGAGGATGGGAACTGAACCAAACTGAAAGTAACTTCTTAATTCATTAAATCTGGAACTAAAACAAGCCCCCACCATCCATAATTCAGAGTTTGGTGGGATTTTCCCAAAATAAATTATTTATGAGAGATATTGAAATGAAATTAAACCTAAAGATTTTCTAAATTTTTAACTAAATAAAAACTAAAGTATTAAAATATCAAATAGCAAGAGTCAGACTAATATTGCATTTGGTTTTCAACCCTGTATAGTATACTTTAGGACTAGGATTTGAGAAATAAAACTAATATTGATATTTCTCGATCAGCTTTCATATAAACATCAGTCTTAACTGCTTATAGTTCTTTAAAAATTTTCTATATGTTACATGAATATTGATAGCCTGATGCCTTCATCAATTTTTGTTCAAGAATTTTTATAGATTTTGTTACTGTAACTTCATGTGTTACTTGTTTATTTGCTTCCTCCACCTTTTCTTTCAATAGCATATTACTTTCACTGCCTACTGACACAGAAGATAATGTAAAGTAGTGGGATACTAGACTAGGAGCCAGAACTTTTGAGTTCTTTGAAAGGCAACTCTGCCACTTAGTAACTTTGTGACTCTGATCCTTAGCTTTCAGACTTGTCAGTGGGGATAATAATTCATTCTACCTACTTAACAGGGTTGTTAAGAAGATTACATGAGCTAATGGATGTGAAAACATCTTAAACACTTAAATACTTTTCAACTTTGGAGGATTATTATTTTCATCCTGTTCAGCGACTATCCTCAGACTTTAAGTCAAATTTTATGACATTCTTTGAAGTGAAGCATTCTGTGAATGTGAGCTGAAGAAATGAATGAAAGGAAATAATGCAGGTAAAGGGCCTGACACTTGATAAACAATAAATGACAGTCACTTTTTATTATTCTTTAAAACTTTCCTCAAGCTTTCTAATATGCTAGTATGTGTTAGAAAAAAAACATGGATCTAAGAATCAGACAGGCCTTGGTTTAAATTCCTATTCCCCACGTACCAGTTTTGTGACTTCAGGAAAATTACTTAATCTCTCTGAGCCTAATTCCTCATCTGTAAAATGGGAAGAAAGCCTACTTTTCAGGCTTTCAATTCAGGAGATAGTGAACATGGTATGGCATGGTGTAGGCAAATGGAAAGCACTCAGTGACAGCTGCTGTTTTGGTTGCTTATGATAATTATAGTTCAGTGACTACATAAGGTATATTATAAACAACCTATTTTGTTGATAGGGAATTGTGAAAGGTGGCTACTTAAATTAACATAAAGTAATGTTAAAATTTGAAAGTATATTTCTCTTTGTGGGAGTACAGATAGCACAGCTAGACATATCCTCTGATAAATTAACCCTACGTATTTCCTTTTGCCCATTAAGCATAAACAGCAGCTCCAAATATCAAACTGAAATAAAATTCAGTAGATTCTTAGAATCTCAGAGTTTGAAAGAGGCTTTAAAATAACCTAATTTGGCCCAGCATTTCAAAATCTGACATTTTGAATTTCTTATAAATTGTCTTGTCTTGTACTCTTTAAAGTTGTTGGGGACTTACAGCCTCTTTAGGCAACTCACATCATATTTTGACATAATTATTGAGTCAATATCTGTTTCTTTGTAAATTCTGTTAGTCATACTTATAACTTTTAGGGCCATGTGGAGTAGTTATATCCAATGTTTTGCTTACCAGCCTCTCGTTATTTGAAGTAGCTCTAGGGACTGCCGTCTCACTGCCGTCTCACTGTGGCTTTCCCGGTTCAAACCTCCATCATCCATACCCGGATTATTAGAACAGCCTCCCACTAGTCTTCCTGCCTCAGGCCTTGCCCTCCTCTAGTCCATCTTCACACTGCAGACAGAACGAGTTTCCTGAAATCCTTCAGTGCTTCCTCTTCTCATTAATGTGGTGATACCTGAACACTGCTTTTATCTACAACCTCTTTTCTAAACTGTTTCTTTAAACTCCACCTAGTAGCCATACCAAAGATTCTGTTTTTAGAAATGCCTTTTCTCACTTCTGGGCCTTTATACATGCTTTTCTTTCTTTCTGAAACAATAAAAAACAAAACAACAAAAAAGAATGTTCTCTTTGGCTGGAAATTACTTCCTCTGGAAATCCTTCCACAAACCCCTAGGTGCTCCTATAGCACCCTCATCTCCAAGCATAGCACTTAACACACTTTGTAATAGTTGACTGTTTTGGCTCTGTCCCTCACTAGACTGAAACTCTATGAAGGAAAGGATAATAATTTGATTATGTTTTTATCTCTAGCACCCACACAGTGCTTTGGTACACACTATAAATATTTGTTAGATGGATGGATGAAGACGTTGCTTGCGTATTCATGCTAAATGTTCATTGTTCCTTCAGCTGACCCTCAGATGACATGGTTTTGTGTCCCTGTACCACTTAGGTCACCATTTAGGCTTTGGTTTGTTATATCCCTCTCAAAGTACAGCTCCTAGGACTAAATTTAATATTTCAGGTGTGAACTTACTAGTCCAGAAAAGAGTAGGACTATTGCTTGCTTGCTTCTTTCATTCACTCCCTTTTCATTCACTAAACTTTTATTTGGCCTCTATTTAAGGTTTTAGGCACTGTGTTAAACAGTGACGATTTTAAAAAATTAATAAAAGATAGTCCCTATCCTTACATAAACAATTATGATGATATAATGTGATGAGTTTGAAGGTAAAGGTGTGAATATGATGTTATGGGAGACAGGGATATGGATGGATTTCTTTTGGGAAGACAAGTAAAGTCAGAAATTCTTTTTTTGGTTTGGTGTTTTATCTTTAGATGATTCATTAACATATCAAGCTATTGATCTAAAAGGCCTATAGAAAATGTTTTGAGAATTAACTACTGTGTATCTCAAAAACTTAGCTTTAGACATTTTAGAATAACTGGGTTTTATTCTTGTTAGATCTGCCACAACTTATTAACCATTTTAAAATGTCAAGAATACATAGGGTTGAGGGTATGACTTATGAAAAGGACTTGCTCTGTCATATATTTAAATTGATCATGAAATTATATGAAACAAAGTATTCCTGGTGCTGGCATAGACTGATGAGAGGAACAAAATATAGAGTCCAGAAATAGGTCCAAGTGTATATAAGAAATTAACATATGATCAAGGTAACATTTTAAATCAGTGGACAAAATTATTTATTCAATAAATGTGTTTCAAATGATGAAAAGGAAAGCTACATGTTTGCCTCATTTGTATCACAAAATAAATTCCAAATAGCTTAAACATTTAAATGTAAAAAAATGAAACCTGAGAAATCCTAGAAGAAAACATGTGTTATTATTTTATAATATTGAAGTAAGGAAAGTGTGATATAAAAACCAGGAGACATAAAAAAAAAAGTTGAAAAATTTAAGGGCAAGTCCTATCAGACTGAGACAAATGTCTTCATCATATGACAGACAAAGAACAAATATCATTAATATACAAAGAGCTCTTATAATCTGAGAGTAAACAGAATACCTCAGTGAAAAATGGCAAAAATAAAATAAATATTGACTAATAAGACTAAAAAGATGTTCAACTTCATTAATAATCAAAGAATTACAAATAAAAGCATAAGAGTACTTTTTTTCACTAAGATTTATCAAAATTATAGACATGGGTAAAACAATTTTCACAAGGAACATAGTCTTATATACTATTGGCAGGAATTATATTGTATCAAAATATAAAATATGCATACTCTTTGTCCATTAATATCACTCTTAGGAATTTACCCTAAGGAGTTCATCTTAAAAGTGGTAAAAGATGTGTGCACTCATCAAAAATTTAAAAACACTTAAATGACCATCAATAGTATTTAACAAATACTGTTGTTATGTAAATTATGGTACATATAAACAATGGAACACTTTTCAAACAGTAATCTTAAAGTAGTATTTCAGGTCTAAAGACAATGAGTTAGAAGAAGGCAGACTTTGGCTGACTATCAAAGTTAAAGTCTATCCATTTGTACCATTAAACAATAGTAAATAATGAGTTTCTCATCCTTGGAAGTATGTATTGAAGCAGAGGCTGGAGGAACCTTTCAGGTCTTAACTTTCTATCACTTCATCAAGATTTCTTTCTTGACCATCTTATCTAAATTACCACACACATTCTTGGCACTCTCTCTTCCTCTTACTTTGCTTTATTATTTCTTTATTTGAAAAGGACCAGGAATTTTATAATTATTATCTGGCATCTGTGTTACTCTCTGGACCAACTGATACATATTTATTTATTTGTGTATTACCTCTTTTCCCTCTTAGAATGTGGGTAGAGACTTTGGCTGTTTTGTTCTTTGCTATGTATCTCTCAGCAGTTCCTAGAACCAGGCTTGATAGGTAGTAGGTGCTCAATAAATATTTGTTGAATGAATAATTATTGGAGAAAGGGATTCATGCCTTCAACTAGGTGGATCTCTTGTGCTTTACATTTTGGGAGATCTTATTTCCTAATAATAAATGTAACTGCCATGTTGTGTGCATTATAATTTATAAAACATTTTCATTAGTATTATTTGCTAATATAAATTAGATGGCTGGCTTTTTCCCATCTGTAGGGTCTCAGCTCAGATGTTTCCTCTGTAGAGCATCTGTCCAAAACTTCACCATCTAAGATAGTTCCCAGTCTCTATTTGTCACATCACATTATTTTATTTCCTTCAAGTGCTTATCACTTATACCTTATTTATTTATGTGTCAGTTATGTCTCACAATGTAAATTCCAC